TTTGTATGAGCCCATAGGGCCATGTGTCTTTGTATCTGCCCGAAGGCTCTGTGTGCTCTGTGTACCTGTATAGCGAGATGGATGTGCCCGAAGGCCAGATATGTGCAGTCTATGTGTGCTCTGTGTAACTGTATAGCGAGATGTATGTGCCCGAAGGCCAGATATGTCCAGTGCTATGTAGGGGGAACTATGTGTTGGTTTGAAGAGATGACAGTCCAAGCTGGACAAGAACCCCCCCTCAAAGTCCCCAGCCAGACTCGAACCCGTGATCTATGACATGTGAACTGAGGACTCTACCATTTGAGCAACAATCACAAACTGCCCGTGTGTGATATGCCAGACTGGGGAGATCAACAGAACAACCACGAGCAACAGCCACAAGCAACCCACGCAGTATCAAGACCCGACATACAACACCATGGACAACCCTTGGGTGGTGCGCAGGCAATGTCTGTATAAGCTTACCGTGCGTCAGCCCAAGGGAATGTGTGTCCAGCCGTGCGTCATTCTAACGCCCTGCTGGTGTCAATGCGCAACGCTGCAATTGAGTTTTGAACCCACAACCTCATACCACAATGCGCATTTCCAACCGGTGCCAGGATCTTAAGAACCACCAAAGGTGCCTCCTTGGACCTCGTCCACACTTTGCCTTCCTCCTCGAGTCAGCCCAGAGCCCTCAAACCGGCTGGCTCATGTCCGCCCAAATGATTGAGCAAATCACAGCCCGTACCACATGGGCCACGTACGGCCATCCCTTTCTGCCAGACTGTTCAGCTCCCATGAAGCCCAGCAGAAGCCACTGCTCTTTCCACTCAAGTTGTGACTCAACTACTCCACCCAGTCTCCGCCAGTGATCTTCCCACCAACTCCACACTCTCCTTGACGCCGGGCAGTCCCACCATAGATGCTTGGTGTACTCAAAGGGCCAGGAGCAGCGAGGACACTGCAGGGGAACCTCCATACCGCAGATGGCATAACCAATAGGGGTAGCATCCACAGCAGACTGGCCTTTTTTTTTTTTTTTTTTTTTTTTTTTTTTTTTTTTTTTTTTTTTTTTTTTTTTTTTTTTACAAACACCCCTTCTCGACAGTTAGAAGTGATGGTATGAGCATCCGCAGCAGACTGGCCTGCTTCAGGTTGGGAATCAGTAGCAGAACTGACCACAGCCTCAGAAAGTTGTCCTCTCTCCCTTGCAGGTTAATCATCAGCAGTATGCTCTATTTTTGGCACTTGCCACTGTTGCCAGTTCTCGTTTTCCTGGTACGTGATGATTTGGTGCTCTCTCCGTAGTCTCCACTACTCTCAAAATGTGCAAATTGAGACTGAATCCTCTGTTAGAACATGGAAACATACATTGCCATATTTTTTGTACATGTGGAGAGTAGTGGAGCGAGGCCCTTTGATTTTGGTAGTCATTGGGCCTTGCTGGACGGTGCAAAAAACGAAACGAAACGACCTTGAAACTCGCGAGGCCTCGCGAGGCCGAAAATCACCGTTTCTTTTCGTTTGTTACACCACCGCCGCACGGCACACGCGAAATCACTCGCGGAAACGCCCTGATGAGTGTTGAGGTGCCTGACTTTCGCAAATGCTAATTTTTTTTTGGACCGACATCCCTTGGACCTACTTGCTGCACTCGTGTGGATTCGCAGCTCCACCAGCAACCTTTGGAGGACCTACGACTTTTGGCGAGTTGCAGGCGGGCATGGAAGGGGCAGCGTGAATTGCAAATCTGACACACTTCGCAACTTCCTCCTGACAGTTTTCGTTTCTTGACTGTGCAGCGAAACGTTCACGAAACGAATTAGTTTTTTTTCTCGTTTCGTCCGGCGAGCCCCATTATTGGCCCTATTATTGGCTTTAGGCCTCTACCCTTCGTTTTTACTACTTGCCAGTTGTCATTATCCGGGCTCTTTTGGCTACAAAAGAGAGAGGCCATTTGTCCTTATGGAAGACAGACCACGACACGCACGCGCACGCCCACAAACAACCATGCCAGCATCTCT